GAGAGAGAGAGAGAGAGAGAGAGAGAGAGAGAGAGAGAGAGAGAGAGAGAGAGATGCTTGTCACTGTTGTTGGCGGCCGTAGCCATAGACTTGGAGAAACCTGAGCATATCTTTTCAAGTTGTAATTAAGCCATTTGTGTATGATCTGGTGTGGATCTTGCCGGTGTGACCTGGATCTTGAGTGTGATGCAGACATAGTGTTTGAGGTAAATCAAGATCTTTTTCAGTGAAGGTCGAATCTTTTCAGTTTGCACTTACTTCTGCAGTTGTGTGGCAGGTCGCTAAAGCATTTGTGGAAAAAGTTCTCACGTCCCCATCTCAAAAACCAGAGCTTGTGGCAGTAAAGGAGGTGAGTTTCGCATGTATATGTTTTAAACGACTCTTTCATCCATCATTTTCTTCCTCCCTTCTCAGTCTCTCTGACTTCAGAAGAGGGGGAAGGCGCTGGAGCGAGAACGTACCAGTCCTACAGCAACATGCCTTCCTCATTCATTGGCTTATAAAATCCCTTTGTTTGTGTCCATTATCTGTTTATGCAAGCTGCTGGCCCCTCCCCTCCCCCCTCCCCCCAACCTCTCTCTCTCTCTGTAATACTATATATAGCGTGATCTCATGCTGTGAGTAGCCTGCAAAGTTGCCAATTGTGTGACAATATATATATATATATCCCCTCGTTTGTTGTCCTCTTCTCCCTCTCTGCCTACGGTTTACCGGGCAGTTCTATTTGACGATATATATATATATATATTCAGCCTCCTGATGAGTCGGTGAAACTCCGACGAAACAGTTTGTCACACCCCCTCGTTTGTTGTCCTCTTCTCTCTCTCTGCCTACGGTTTACCGGGCAGTTCTGTTTGTGACGATATATATATATATATATATATATATATATATATATATATGATATATATATATTCTCCGGTCAGGTCGAGCGGCAGTGGTCAGGGCCGTCACTACGCGGCCATGCTGTGCCGCTAGTGTCAGCGGCGTGTCTGGAGTGTATTTTTTGGTTGTGACAGACCTTTCTTTGTTTCGTGGGTGTTTTGCTTGCTTGTGATGGGGTGTGAACCGACAGTCTATAGAGTATTCCATCTGGTGTGGGTGAGTGATAGTCTGCTTTGACTTTGCCACAGGTACCTTGAGGGCAGTGGTTGCTGCCCACCTCAGGGTATCAATTGTTGGGCAGTCGTTGATGCTTAACCACAGTCGGGGTTAAGGTGGATTATAACTTAAAGTGTAATCAGTTAGGGGATTCTGCAGACTGTTGAGGGTTCAGCCTCTTGATGAGTCCGTGAAACTCCGACGAAACAGTTTGCCACAGCCCCTCGTTTGTTGTCCTCTTTTCCCTCTCTGCCTACGGTTTACCGAACAGCTCTGTTTGACTGTATGTCAATCCAATGCATCTTCGTTCTCCAATCATGTGAGCCAGCCACGTTCACTATGTTCTACACATGCCTCCTTGCACCATCTTCAACAACACTTTGCCATTGTCCCTGTGAACAAAACATCACACAATTTGGCAATTTGCTGCAAGAATTGGTATATGTTTCATCTCTCTACCCATTTGGACAGTCCCACTTATACTCATCCTCAAGAGTCCGTTGCTGAAGTCCTCGACCACCATGCAGTGTGGAATCACCATTGGGGTTACACCCACACTAATACCCTACCTTACCTTTACTATGTACTCAAAGCTCACAAGTCTCCTCCAGCTCTTCGCAGCATTCTTTGTGTCACAACACAAAATAATGGTGTTGTTCCCCCGTATGCTCGCCCTCGTCCAACAATTCGCACCATTCATGAACGGCCTCCTCACAAACCCTTGGCTAGCACAACCACTACTTCGTCGTATCTCAGCGCTGCTTTGCAAGGAGTGATCTCTACTCTTCGCGAGAAAGACATTGAGCTCTATCAACAGGTTGGTGTTCGACGGTGCTCTCAGAGTGTCGATGAAGTGGCGATTGACCTGAAAAACAATGCATCGTCTCTTTGTGGCCTCTCTCCTCGCACTGTTGATTTTACCACAATGTACACCAACCTTCCTCGTGACCACATTCTGAATAATGTGGCAAAAGTTGTTGATGAAGCTGATGCTTATGCCCTTCGGCAAGCTCGCACGCATTCACGCTGCGTTGCCCTCAACATGGTTATTCAAGGACCTGTTGTGGGCAATGGACAACTGATTCAGGCCCGGATACCCTTTTTGTTTCTCAGATTCTCCAACATCTTCGCTTTGTTGTACAAAACACTTTTCTATACACGAGAGATGGCACACTTCGAAAACAAATTATCGGTATTCCAATGGGAATGAATGCTGGCCCAGAAATTTCTAATCTAACGCTGTATAGGGATGAAGCACGCTTTGTTGACGACATTCGTCAACATGATCTTCTAGTTGCTCAACAATATGCCTTCACCTATTGCCTCATTGATGATGTTCTTTCATGGGGACATTTACCTCCTCCACCAGAACACTATGGGTTGGAGTGGACGGAGACTACAACTACAGATGACTCCTGTACTTTTTTAGGTATGCAGCTACGGGTCCGTTCCGATGGCTCGCTTTGCATGAGGGTCTTTGATAAAGCGGTTGCTTGGGATTCCCCTGTCATTCGTTATCCAAGTGCGACCTCCAACATTCCTTCCCATCAACCGGCTGGTGTGTTCACTGGGCAATTGACCAGATTTGAACAAATCTGTAACAATTGGCAGGACTTTCGAATTGCGGCAACAACACTTACTCGTCGTTATGCTTTCGCGTGGGCATTCCCCACCAACCCTTGCGAAGGGGTGGACCTGCTACATGCGCTCCCGCCAATGTCGCTATCCTACACATGTGACGCGTCTCTCTCAGTGGTTCCGACGCATGTTGCGATTGTCCTTGTATCATTCAATTTCTTCTTCGCCCCCACGATGCTCTTGTCCTGCCCTTGCTTACTCATCTGCTGCTACCGCAGTTTCCACTGCTGCAGTCTCCACTCCTGCAGTTTTCACTGTTGGAGTCTCCACTCGTGCAATTTTCACTGCTGCAGTGTCCTCTGTTGTGTTTTCCACTACTGCAGTGTCCACTACTGCAGTTTCCACTGTTGCGGTTTCCACTGCTGCAGTTTCCATTGCTCCAGTTTCCACTGCTCTAGTTTCCGCTGCTGCAGTTTCTACTGTTGCGGTTTCCACTGCTGCAGTTTTCAGTACAACAATTTTCCTAACTGTAATTGCCCCTACTTCAGTTTTTACTGCTACAGCTCCCGGTCCTGCAGCTCCAATGCAAAGAACATCACAATCTCTCTGACGCTCACGTCCTTTGCTCTGAAATCTTGCCCAATGCACCCCCCTCTCATCTTTGTCTGTGCTTGGTCGTAGACGAGTGCATTCCTCCTCACCACCCCCATCTCCTCCACGGTCTCGCTTGCGAACAGACTCTCCGATTTCCATTGTCCTCATTGTTCCACCCGTGTTGCTAGGTACAAGTTCAACTTCTGTTTGCAACACCACTACTCCTCTTGTTGTGTATCACCGACGGCATCCGTGGCATCGTCACTTGTCCGGGGATCAGCAACCTGTTTCTTTGTCTGCCCCGATTCTCTTTGTGCCTCCTCCACAGGTTGTTGCGGTTCCTTTGTTTCAAACGCAATATCCGCTCCTATGACTCCTGCGGACAGTCCATCTGCCTGCAGGCAGCCACCAGTCCCTACCCAAGATGCAGTATCTGCCCAGAGTACACTCCCGACTCCAGGTATAGTCCCTACTCAGGATGCAGCCCTAAACGTTGAGGGATTGGAACATGATCTGCCCAGATCGCAGTTGACCCCACAAGGCGTAGACCACACGGGGGATCTGCAAATGGCTGACCAGCATTGTTCGGATGAAACACAATTTATGCTCCGCCACACGCAGACCACATGGGTGATCTGCAAATGACTGACCAGCAAACAACCCAACACAGTTTGGGCTTGCAACACCATCTGGGTGATCTGCAAATTGTTGGCCAGCATCCAACAAACCAGCCTGACCTCACCAATCTCTATGGTTTGACAGCAACTAATATTTGTCCTCATTCTCCATCGCCCGTTTTATACACCATCAGACTACCTTGCAATCGCCCTTCAGCTTTATGCCGATCTTCCCCAACGACAGCCAGAGGATTGTAATTA